ACAAATTTGCTAGAGATAGACAACATAGATATTATCCATTAAAGTCATTCAGGATAAAAAGGATATCAATATTCTATAGAAAGAGAATGATTTTCAATAGACATATACAAGCACGGTTATAGCCGGTATAGACATTGAAGCCACATCGGGGACGTGTGGTGACCTCCTACAGGCCTTCTATAAATAGAATAACTCCTATATGGCTTCTAAAGGCCTTCTGTGGATAGAAGACCTTCTAAATGCCTAGAAGACCTCCAAGAGGTCTTCTATAAATAGGATACTTCAAGAGGTCTTCTAAAAATAGAAGACCTCCAAGAGGTCTTCTATAAATAGAGGGCCTCCTACTGGTCTTCAATAGATAGAATACCTCCTACAGGCCTTTTATAGATAGGAGACCTCCTAGAGGTCTTCTATAGATCGAAGACTTCCTACAGGTCATCTATAGAGAGAAGACCTTCTACAGGTCTTCTATAGATAGAAGACCTTCTACAGGTCTTCCATTGATAGAAGACCTCCTACAGGTATTCTATAGATAGAAGACCTCCTACAGGTCTTCTATAGATAGAAGACCTCCTACAGGTCTTCTATAGATAGAAGACCTCCTACAGGTCTTCTATAGATAGAAGACCTCCTACGGGTCTTCTATAGATAGAAGACCTCCTACGGGTCTTCTATAGATAGAAGACCTCCTACGGGTCTTCTATAGATAGAAGACCTCCTACGGGTCTTCTATAGTTAGAAGACCTCCTACGGGTCTTCTATAGATAGAAGACCTCCTACAGGTCTTCTATAGATATAAGACCTCCTACAGGTCTTCTATAGATGGAAGACTTCCTACAGATCTTTTATAGATACAAGACCTCCTACAGGTCTTCTATAGATAGAATACATCCTACAGGTCTTTCAGGTCTCCTACAGGTCTTCTATAGATAAAAGACCTCCTTCAGGTATTCTATAGATAAAAGACCTCCTTCAGGTCTTCTATAGATATAATACCTCCTACATGTCTTCTATAAATAGAAGACCTCCTACATGTCTTCTATAGATAGAAGACCTCCTACATGTCTTCTATAGATAGAAGACCTCCTACATGTCTTCTATAGACAGAAGACCTCCTACAGGTTCTTTATAGATAGAAGACCTCCTACAGGTCTTCTATTGATAGAAGACTTCCTACAGGACTTCTATAGATAGAAGACTTCCTACAGGTCTTCTATAGATAGAAGACTTCCTACAGATCTTCTATAGATACAAGAAATCCTACAGGTCTTCTATAGATAGAATACCTCATACAGGTCTTCTATAGATAGAATTCCTCCTACAGGTCTTCCAGGGATTAGAGACTCTCTATAGGTGTTCTGGGGATAGAAAACCTGCTACACGTCTTCTAGGAACAGAAGACCTCCTACAGGTCTTCTAGGTCCAGAAGACATTCTAGGGGCTTCAAGGGACAGCAGACCGTCTACAGGTAGTAGATAGAAGAACTGCAATTGGTATTCTTGGGTCAGAAGACCTCCCATAGGTCTTCTAGGGACAAAAGACCTCCTAAGGGTCTTCTATGGACAGAATACCTCCTAGAGTTCTTCGGGGAACAGAAGACCTACTATAGGTCTTCTAGATACAGAAGACCTCCTATGCGTCTTCTAGGGTTAGAAGACCTCTCTTCTAGCTCCTCCAAGGACAGAATACATACTATAAGTCTCCCACAATTTTTCTCTAGACAGAAGATCTTATGTAGGTCTTTTATAGAAGGAAGACCTTGTACAGGTCTTTCGTAGAACGAAGAACTACTACAGTTATTCGTTAGAAAGAAGACCTCCTGTGGGTCTTCTAGCGACAGAAGTCCTCCTATGGGTCTTGTAGACTCATAGAAGTCCTGCTACAGGTCTCCTTCATATAAAACTTATTCTCACTTCTACTTTGTGTCTCAAATAATTACAGCTTCTTCTTTCATAAAATATCTCCTTTTTTTCCAAAGACTTATTAAAGTTCCACCCATTCCTTGCCACCAAAGAAGTTCTTCTTCTGCCGACAACAATTTCCATTCTAAATTTATTCGCATTTTTTACGGAAAAGATCAAAAGTCCAAAAGTCATTTAGCTTTTGTTCTTCTTCATCTTCGTTTTTTTCTCCTTCTTATGCTTCTTCTTGGAAATCCAGTTTTGGTATTTAAAAGCGAAGAAAAATCACACTGATCCTCAATTCCCCAGGGGGAATGTCTTCTCTATTGCCATGCAGGCCTAGATGTCGGTTTGTCTGTTCGCCTGGCCGCCGTCGTCTATCTTTGTTCCCATCATGAGTCATGGATAGCCTTGAATGGTTATATTTAGAGACGCCACATTGTTGGCTTATTACACGACTTAATGATGAGCTCCGTTCTGGTCTCTCTTCCAAAGAAAAGTGCCAGAGTTGTTGGCCATGATCGTGATGATGATGATCTGTTGTATTTTAGTCCCCCAAATTGCAATTTAGCACTAAGAGTCAAGCCGTCAGTCAGCTAGCTAACCAGCCCGCAAGCAATCCAGAATTGTTTTTTTCATTCCATCAGAGGCCGGTCTTAACTGCAAATGGAGGGACAACCACCAGGAAGGAAAACAACAACAAAAGAACTTCAACCAAAAAACAAGTTTAGCTGTGAATTTTTATTTTTATTCATTGTGGCCAAAAGTGGCATGGATGGATGGCTGGAGCATGGCCAGCAGGATCCTTTTTTTTCGCATATTGTCATACTTCGTCGTCGACGTTGCTCGTTGTGGTCCAACTTGAATATGAAATAGCATCAAAGTACTGCCCAGATTAGCTTTAAGAACAAAACTCTCAGGCCAACTCTCAGCAGGAACGAAGTTGGATGAGGGGGGAAGTTTTGGGGGGCGAGGTAAAACGTAGTCAGGCATAACGTGAATTAAAGACAAGTTTGAATGCTGAGAATTGATATTCAGCGAAGAAATCCAGTTTGTCTTGTCCAGCAAGACAACGCGTAACTTCTTGCTGTTGTTTCTTTTCTTTTTGTTGTTGGTTCATCCGTTTGTGTGTGTGTCTTTCCTTCTTTGCTGGCGTTTCTCATTTCTCCTTTTGTGAATTTTCTGATTTAAATTCATAAAATTAAAAAAATATACCTTGCGAATATGTTGGAGCGTTCATTAGCCTTTGCTGAGATTTCGCTGCAGAGGCCAGAAGAAACCTTCCTAACCTTCTACATATGGAAGAGCTACGGAAGGTCTATTAAAAGTCCTTGAGCTATGGCAGTATTGGAAATGGTTCCCGATGTAGAATGAAAATCTGCCATCAGAGGATCTAAAGAAGTTCTTATATTCTGAAATTGTCTTCCTTTTTCAAATATCCATTGAAAGTTATTTCCTTATAAAAGAGAAATACTGAAGACCCGTTAGAAGTCCTTCATATGCAGAAGAGCTGTGCAAACCCATCAATTTCGACAAAGCCCATAAAAGGTCTTCGGTATAAGGAAGGGCTTTTGTCCTTGAAAGTTCTGCAAAAGATATTCTTTCTTTGGAAGACTTGTTAATGATAATCTGTCTATAGAGGACTTGTTACAGGCCTTCTTTCTACATAGGATCTGTAAAAGGCCATATGTTTAAAAAAGTCCTGCAATATATATTGCTTCTATAGATAATGTGTAAGAAGTACTTGGAAGGACAGTAAAATATCCTCTGTTTCTGGAAGATATGCAAAAGGTCTCTTAAAATGACCCGTCTGTAGATCTTAAGAGTTCTTCTGTTTTCGGGAGTCCTATAAAATGGATCTGAACGGTATACCGATCTCATATCCAATATACCTTTGGATGAAATCCGTTTCGGCAAAAGTCCAGCAATGCTCATTTGCCTATCCCTCTAGCTGGTTGGTACCCACTGTAAATCACGAAAGAACTATCTACTATCTATTAAACTTAGGTCGAGTTTGAATTGGGCAATATGAACTCCTTTACATACCCCTCGCAAAAACTGTCAAAATTTGGAAATTCGCACAACCCAAACGTGCCTCAAGGTTTTAGGCCCTCTTAAGGTCTCTTTGGACCAAATCCGTTTCAAGATATTTAGAGTCGATCTAGGGGTGTCCATCCGTCCCTCTGTCTGGCTGGTGCGAACGATAACTATCGAAGGGGGTATCCTATTAGGTCCAAACTTGGCACATCGAAATATTATTGTCAGCTGTGTTAATTGTTGAAGCTGCTTTAATTGTTGGAGACACATAGAAGAAGTGAAGTAGAACATCCTGTAGGAGACCTCTAGGGGGTCTTATTTCCACAGAAGACCTATGGAAGGCATTCTATCCCAAGAAGACGTCTTCTGTATTTAGAACACCTGAAAGAAGTCTTCTATCCACAGGAGGCCTGTAGGACGTTTTTATATACAGAAGAGCTGCAGGAAATCTTCTGTGCCTAGAACACCTGTAGGATGTCTTATGTCCCCAGAAGACCTATAGGAGGTCTTGTGTGCCTAGAAGACCCATAGGAGGTTTTCTGTCCCTAGAAGACCAAAAGTAGGCCTCCTATCCTCAGAATACCTTTAGTAGGTCTTTTATCCCCAGAAGACCTTGAGGAGGAGACGAAGAAAAAATAGGCGAAACAAGACGAGGACAAATTTTATAGGAGGTATTCTATAAATAGAAGACCTTTAGAAGCTCTTAATTCTATAGAGGACCTGTAGCATTTTCTGGAGGGTCTTCTATGTATACACCTTTTTCAGATGTCATTCGAAACATTTTAATTGTAATTTGAGAATTTTTCCAATTGTAATTCGTATTATTTTAATTCTAATTCGAATTATTCAATTTAAAAATCGAAGAAAAAATAATTTGAATTAAAAATGGAATAATTCGAATTACAAATGGAATAACTCGAATAAAAAATAACAATTAGAAACCACTTTCAAGAGCCCGTTTCAACACATTTAAGAGATCTTCTACGTAAAAGAGACCTTTAAGAGATCTTCTAAGTAAAAATTATTTGGCAACTCTTTAATTCTTTTTGGCATTTGGTTCCCATTTTCCTTCAAAAATAAACAACTTCAAAAAAATTTAAAAACAAAATTTCAAATCGCAAAAAAATGTTTATAAAAATTTCAAGTAATTTTCATTTTGGCAATGAATTAAACAAATATGTAATCAATCATCCTCTCTTGCTACGAAAATTTCAAAATTCTCTGACCTCCAAATCGAATCGCCGAAATCATCAATGGAAACGTCAAATGGAGTTGAATCAACGGCGTCGCAAAGTCATACCCACATTGGTGTATTTGAATAATCCCTGGACGTATTGGAAGGCCCGGTTCAATTTGATGAAAATGCAAATGTTTTGGGATCGCGAATTTGTCGAAGAGGAATTTATTCGTGGTGCCAAGAAGGTAAACTCAAAGGTGGACAAAATCTGTGTTTGCGTGGTCTTCCAATGGATGGCAATTCACAATAGCGATGGGGTAACTGATGGTCTAAATAACAATGGTTATTGTGGTTGTTGAATTGACTAACTTATAATTTTAGTAAGTCAAGCACCCAACCAAGAGTTCTAAAAAATAATGAGTTTAGTACGCCGTACCGCCGAATATTGCTTTTGAATGACCACCGAATATTATAGGCCATAATAATAACACTGTACGACATAAATAATAATTACAAGGAATTATGGGGAAAATCCAGCAGATTATGAAAGTAGAGCTAAACAAGAAGACACGTTTATCGCCGGTTTTAAAGTTAACATAGAAAACTAAAAATATAGGAGACAAGTTCTCCCAATTTTAAACTTTTGGAAATTTTCGAATTTAGATTCCTCAGAATTCGTGCATTTCAGGTATATAGTGCTTTCGGCAATTTTGCAGATAAAAATACGAGGAATATTTTCAAGCGAGTTAATAATGAGGTCTTCTGGGCCTTATTTTTAAAAATGGGTCAACATTTCCTTTAAATGGGATCATAGGAAGTCAAAATATTCTACAAAATTATTTGTCATAAAATTTTACCGTAGGTCCTAGAAAATGTAAAAAGTCTAAGTCTTACCCTAACGCCAGAAATTCATTTATATAAAAAACCTATTTTGGGGTTAAAGCCGTACTTTGTGTGAGTTTGTGCCCAAATCTCTAACAAAAAATATTTTAGGAGGACGAAGGACGTCCCCAACAAAAAGAATAAATATATATTCCCAATTTATTCCCTACACCACAAGGTGGTCAGGGTATTATGTCTTTGTACATTTGTTTGTAACAGGCAAAAGGAAACGAGATAGACCCATAGTTCCTTTTGATGATCTGCATAGAATCACATTCTGAGTCGATTTATGCATGTCCGTCCGGCTGTCCATGTATTATTGTAAACAAAGTACAGTTCGCATTTATTGCCCTATCCAGATGAAATTTTGCACAAATCATTTGTTTGGCCAAAAGACGAAACCTATTGAAATTGGAGATAATCGGTCAAAATTTAGATATAGCTCACATATATATCTTCATCCGATTTGCCTTTTATTGTGCACCAAACTTGTAATATCAATCCGAATAGTACGGAATTTTGCACGTACCATCAGATTGGACCTGAAAATAAGTATGCCAAATTTGATCGAAATCGGTTCAGATATGGCTATAGCTCCCATATATATTGTTCATCCGATTTGTTATTTTTGTTCTCCGCAGCCGTAATATGCACTCTGTATCAACAATATTTGGGGAAATGTATCAAATACAGCTCAGAAATACATTTGCTAAATATTTTCGAGATCGGTACCGATTTGGATATAGCTCCCATATATAACTTCGTCCGATTTATTGTACACCAAATGTCTAATATTTGCCCAAATGGCATGGAATTGGGAACATGCGACCGAATTGAGTCTAGGAGCCAGTATGCCAAATTTGGTGAAGATCGGTTCAGATATAGCTATAGCTCCCAAATATATTGTTCATCCGATTTGTTGTATTTGTTACCCACAGCCGTAATATGCACTCCGTAACAACGTTATTCAGGGAAATATATCAAATACAGCTCAGAAATATCTTTGCCAAATTTTATCGATATCGGTTCCGATTTGGATATAGCTCCCATATATATCTTTATTTGATTTCAAATTAATTTTGCACCAAATGGGCAATACAAGTCCGAGTTTAAAAGATAAAAATGCTTTGGCATATTTAGTCCTTTGAACTTTAAATTATAATCATAGCGTGTATTAAATTCTCCCATAAAAACTTTTAATTGTTATGTGGAACTCTACTAAATAAGCAAAGTGGTATAGGGTATCATAAAGTCGGCGCCGCCCGACTGAAAATAATTCGGTACGAATATCTCAAATTAAATTCGGTGATACCGAATGCTTTTTCACTTGGCTTTCTTTGATTTCTATACTAACCATTTCAATAATCTCTCCAAAAATATATTGCCTACTTTCAGGCGGCGGTGGTTTTAACCGACATAATACGCAATCAAGACATGTCCACCATTAGTAAACTCACCACACCCTTGGGATATCAACAAATTACACGCGACATGATGCTCTCAAGGGATGATGTGCGATTGAAGTTGGTGCGATTTGACACCGAACACATACGAAGGGCCATACCCATGAAGGTGGTAACGAAAGTTAATTATGGTAAGATCCAAATTCTTTTCAAAATTAAAATAATTCATTGTTAATTCCCCTCCTCGAAACTAGGTCGCAAATACTGTTTCATTGACATGATGTTTGTGGGTCTACGAAATACCAAAGATTTCGACTCAATAGAAGAACTGGTGGAGGTCAATCGAATTTTGCAATCTCTGGATGCAGATTTGCGTCTAACACAAGAAGTCATCTCCACACCGCATCGCATTATATTTGCCGAAATTTTTATACGATTTCGCCGAGATTGTTCCGAGAATTCGCTGGAATATTATCACCAACATCCCAGTCGCTTTGCCAATGAAAAAGATTGGGCTGTGGGTTTTTATAAAATTCTCTCCTTTGATGTTTTCCATTACAATCCAAGAGCATAAAATGTGTGTTTTTTATAAAAAAATATTTGTAAAAATAAAGTGAAGATCTAAGATTTCTTGAAACCAGGACATTGAGGTTCTTCCTCCAGCACACATTGGACATGCAGAGCCTTACGCAAATCCTCAACATTATCCGTTTTACTAAGGGATTTGATTTTATCGATATAAATTTGATTCTCCTGGAGCAATTCTTGCTTCCGTTTTTCCAAAATAATGGCCTGAGCCTCGGCAATCGATTGGCGTTGCCAAAAATTTTGCATCAATTCAATTTGTTTTTTCAACTCAACTTCATTTAAGTCCACATGGGATTGGAGATCTATGGTTTGAAGTATGAAATCTTCCTGTGGCATTTCAGTGGATTCCATTTCGCGAAAGTCACCCCAGGGAACTACTTTTTCCGATTCTGTTTGGAGTTTGCGACAATTTGCGGCAAGGGAGAGTAAAAGATCGCCATATTTTTGAAGTTTCTGATAGTCCTAGAAAGAGAAAGGGAGATTATCTCAATTTATTCTAACGGGAGGAGAATTGAAGAGAAATTAAAAAGAGGGAGAGAGAGATATTAATAGATAAGCAAGGCGAGACAAGAACTGGATGGAAAGTATTTTTTCCTGGTAGAGGTTATAAATTTGGCTGAAAGCCAGGAAGCCTTTATCGTCGAGCTGAAGGTCAGGGTCAGACAGCCTTTATAGGCGAGCAGAAGGTCCAGGAGTCCTTATAGACGAGCTGAAGGTCAGGGAGACGTTATAGACCAGCTGAAGGTCAGAGAGCCTTAAAAGATGAGCTGAAGGTCAGGGAGCCTTTATACGCATTCTGAGGGTCAGACAGCCTTTATAGGCTAGCTGGCGGTCAGGGAGTCCTTATAGACGATCTGAAGGTCAGGGAGACGTTATAGAGCTGAAGGTCAGAGAGTCTATATAGGCGAGCTGAAGGTCAGGGAGTCTATATAGGCGAGCTGAAGGTCAGGGAGTCTATATAGGCGAGCTGAAGGTCAGGGAGTCTATATAAGCGAGCTGAAGGTCAGGAAGTCTATATCGGCGAGCTGAAGGTCAGGAAGTCTATATAGGCGAGCTGAAGGTCAGGGAGTCTATATAGGCGAGCTGAAGGTCAGGGAGTCTTTATAGGCGAGCTGAAGGTCAGTGGGCCTTCATAGACCAGCTGAAAGGTCAGTGGGTCTCCATAGACAAGCTAGAAGGTCAGTGGGTTTCCATAGAGCTGCTAACGGCCGGATGGGCTCTATAGACCTGCTGAAGGCTGGATGGTCTTCATAGACCAGCTGAAGGCCGGATGATCAATATAGACCACCTGAAGACCGGATGATCTCCATAGACTTACTGAAAGCCCGATGGTCTTCATAGACCAGCTGAAGGCCGGATGATCAATATAGACCAGTGGAAGGCCGAATGGTCTCTATAGACCAGCTGAAGGCCGGATGGTCTCTATAGACCAGTGGAAGGCCGGATGGTCTCTATAGACCAGTGGAAGGCCGCATGGTCTCTACAGACCATTGGAAGGCCGCATGGTCTCTATAAACCAGTGGAAGGCCGGATGGTCTCTATAGACAAGTGGAAGGCCGGATGGTCTCTATAGACAAGTGGAAGGCCGGATGGTCTCTATAGACCAGTGGAAGGCCGGATGGTCTATATAGACTAGCTGATAGCCCAGCGGTCTATATAGATCAGTTGAAGGCCAGACAGTTTATACAGACCAGTTGAACGTCAGGTGGTCTATATAGGCCAATTAATGCCCTGACGGTCTTCATCGACAAGCTGAGGGCCGGACTGTCTATGTAGACGAGATGAAGACCTAGACGGTATATATAGACCAGTTGAATACCATGCGGCCTATATAAGCTTAGATCGTTCTCGGGGGAATCAATGGCTTGCACTCACCTTTGAAATCCCATAACACTCGCTGGTTACAATTTTCAACTTCTCATGCATATCCAAAGCACTGCGCTGCATTCTCTCTTCAATCTCTTTGCGTAAATTCAAAAAATATTTTTGTTCCAATTTCAAATCGTTAATTTTACGCTGAGCTTCCACTTCTTCACGCAAAATTTCCTCACGCAAATCTTCATGTTGGCGACCAAATTTCCTTTCCGTATCATTTAATTTCTTTGACTCCACCACAAATGTCCGTTGGCGTTCCACTAACGTTCTGACCCTTTCATCTTTATGCGGATCCAGTGAGGCATTTCGTATCGTATCCAAAAATTGCAAGAGTTGTTTATGTAATTTTTGCATTTTCTTTGCTATGGCATCACGTAGGATATAGCGCTTTTCAATTTCCGTATTGACCTGGTCATTTCGTTTGTCAAGGTAAATTTCGAAATCTTCGCGTAGGTTTTCGGCAGTTACGAGATTTGTGGCATGCATAATATTTTCACAGTTTCGCTGGTACCTGTCCTCAATATGCTTCTTTTCTTCGGTTTCATTGTAGAAGTCGTGGAGTACTTCGGCTGCCTGGTCTTCGTAGTGGAGTTTTGCGACATTTTGGAATACCTTGAAAGTGTCTGGGAAAAAGAGAGGAAGAGGGACAATTTTCTAAATTTACAAAATTTAGACCGCCCGACCATCAGCTGGTCTATATGGACCGCCCGACCATCAGCTGGTCTATATGGACAGCCCGACCATCAGCTGGTCTATATGGACCGCCCGACCATCAGCTGGTCTATATGGACCGCCCGACCATCAGCTGGTCTATATGGACCGCCCGACCATCAGCTGGTCTATATGGACCGCCCGACCATCAGCTGGTCTATATGGACCGCTCGACCATCAGCTGGTCTATATGGACCGCCCGACCATAATCTGGCCTATATTGACCGCCCGACCATCAGCTGGTCTATATAGACCGTTCGACCATCAGCTGGTCTATATAGACCGTCCGACTATCAGCTGGTCTATATAGACCGTCCGACTATCAGCTGGTCTATATAGACCGTCCGTCCATCAGCTGGTCTATATAGACCGTCCGACCTTCAGCTGGTCTATGGAGACCCATTGGCCATCAGCTGGTCTATATAGACCGTCCGACCATCAGCTGGTCTATATTGCCCACACGGGCTTTAACTGGTCTATGGAGACCCATTGGCCTTCAGCTGGTCTATATGGACCGCCCGACCATCAGCTGGTCTATATGGACCGCCCGACCATCAGCTGGTCTATATGGACCGCCCGACCATAATCTGGCCTATATTGACCGCCCGATCATCAGCTGGTCTATATAGACCGTCCGACCATCAGCTGGTCTATATAGACCGTCCGACTATCAGCTGGTCTATATAGACCGTCCGTCCATCAGCTGGTCTATATTGCCCACACGGGCTTTAACTGGTCTATGGAGACCCATTGGCCTTCAGCTGGTCTATATGGACCGCCCGACCATCAGCTGGTCTATATGGACCGCCCGACCATCAGCTGGTCTATATGGACCGCCCGACCATAATCTGGCCTATATTGACCGCCCGATCATCAGCTGGTCTATATAGACCGTCCGACCATCAGCTGGTCTATATAGACCGTCCGACTATCAGCTGGTCTATATAGACCGTCCGTCCATCAGCTGGTCTATATTGCCCACACGGGCTTTAACTGGTCTATGGAGACCCATTGGCCTTCAGCTGGTCTATATGGACCGCCCGACCATAATCTGGCCTATATTGACCGTCCGACCATCAGCTGGTCTATATAGACCGTCCGACCATCAGCTGGTCTATATGGACCGCCCGACCATAATCTGGCCTATATTGACCGCCCGACCATCAGCTGGTCTATATAGACCGTCCGACTATCAGCTGGTCTATATAGACCGTCCGACTATCAGCTGGTCTATATAGACCGTCCGTCCATCAGCTGGTCTATATAGACCGTCCGACCTTCAGCTGGTCTATGGAGACCCATTGACCATCAGCTGGTCTATATAGACCGTCCGACCATCAGCTGGTCTATATTGCCCACACGGGCTTTAACTGGTCTATGGAGACCCATTGGCCTTCAGCTGGTCTATATGGCCCATCTGATCTCCAGCTGGCCTATATGGACCACCTGTCCATCAGCTGTTCTTTATGGATATTCCTTACCACTCAAATAATCCATCACCTTTAATTGCATTCCGTAGTTTCGTTTATGCATCTCCTCAGTTTCCCTGATTTCCTCAAGAATTAAGGAAATTTTATCATCCTTTTGGGTTAGGACCCGATTGGTTTTAGCTTCCCAGGACTAAGGGAGACATAGTTAAAAATAATGTTGTAATATTGGCACCTTATGCCGCCCTCACCTGTAACTCCTCCTGCATTTGCACCAACTTAATTTGCCTACACATGTCCGTCCATTCCTCCTGACCACGCAACGAACTTTGTTTGGCCAATGCCAATTCGCGTCTCAAGTTGTCCTTGAAAAGAATATCTTGGATGTTGTTGTTGGAAAAAAGTCAAAATTTCCAACTTACATACATTTCCATTTTGCGGAACTCAATTTCGGCCTTCATCTTCCGTTCCCTTTTCTCGGCCTTGGTAAGGCGTTTCTTTTTGGGTGTTTCTGGCGGTGGGGATTCTTCATCAGTTATGTAGTCCACATAAGTCACCGAGGGCTTGGATGTGGCCATTTTGCTGGGAAGAAATATAGAGATATTATGGAAAATATGAAGGGGCTTGCATTAATTAAATTTTTCTGTGGAACATGACAATTCTCCTAGACAGTAGAACCTAGGGTAGAACGTCCCTACTTACCTAAAAGTTCAATTAGACGTGTCATAACCATATAACTCAGCTGGTCTATAGAGACCCACTGACCATCAGCTGTCTATAGAGACCCACTGACCATCAGCTGGTCTATAGAGACCCACTGACCATCAGCTGGTCTATGGAGACCAGCCGGCCTTCAGCTGGTCTATGGAGACCAGCCGGCCTTCAGCTGGTCTATAGAGACCATATCTGACCTTCAGCTGGTCAATAGAGACCATATCTGACCTTCAGCTGGTCTATAGAGACCATATCTGACCTTCAGCTGGTCTATAGAGACCATATCTGACCTTCAGCTGGTCAATAGAGACCATATCTGACCTTCAGCTGGTCTATAGACACCATATCTGACCTTCAGCTGGTCTATAGAGACCATATCTGACCTTCAGCTGGTCTATAGAGACCATATCTGACCTTCAGCTGGTCTATAGAAACCATATCTGACCTTCAGCTGGTCTATAGAGACCATATCTGACCTTCAGCTGGTCTATAGAGACCATATCTGACCTTCAGCTGGTCTATAGAGACCATATCTGACTATCAGCTGGTCTATAGAGACCATATCTGACTATCAGCTGGTCTATAGAGACCATATCTGACCTTCAGCTGATCTATAGAGACCATATCTGACCTTCAGCTGGTCTATAGAGACCCACTGACCATCAGCTGGTCTATAGAGACCCACTGACCATCAGCTGGTCTATAGAGACCCACTGACCAGTCTATGGAGACCAGACGGCCTTCAGCTGGTCTATGGAGACCAGACGGCCTTCAGCTGGTCTATGGAGACCAGACGGCCTTCAGCTGGTCTATGGAGACCAGACGGCCTTCAGCTGGTCTATGGAGACCAGACGGCCTTCAGCTGGTCTATGGAGACCAGACGGCCTTCAGCTGGTCTATGGAGACCAGACGGCCTTCAGCTGGTCTATGGAGACCAGACGGCCTTCAGCTGGTCTATGGAGACCAGACGGCCTTCAGCTGGTCTATGGAGACCAGATGGCCTTCAGCTGGTCTATGGAGACCAGACGGCCTTCAGCTGGTCTATGGAGACCAGACGGCCTTCAGCTGGTCTATGGAGACCAGACGGCCTTCAGCTGGTCTATGGAGACCAGACGGCCTTCAGCTGGTCTATGGAGACCAGACGGCCTTCAGCTGGTCTATGGAGACCAGACGGCCTTCAGCTGGTCTATGGAGACCAGACGGCCTTCAGCTGGTCTATGGAGACCAGATGGCCTTCAGCTGGTCTATGGAGACCAGACGGCCTTCAGCTGGTCTATAGAGATCACCAGGCCTTCAGCTGATCTATAGAGACTCACTGATTTTCCGCTGGTCTATAGAGACCATCCCCGGACTTCAGCTGGTCTATGAAGACCCACTGACATTCAGCTGGTCTATAGAGACCACCGGGGCTTCAGCTGGTCTATAGAGACCACCGGGCCTTCAGCTGGTCTATGGAGACCAGACGGCCTTCAGCTGGTCTATGGAGACCAGACGGCCTTCAGCTGGTCTATGGAGACCAGACGGCCTTCAGCTGGTCTATGGAGACCAGACGGCCTTCAGCTGGTCTATGGAGACCAGATGGCCTTCAGCTGGTCTATGGAGACCAGACGGCCTTCAGCTGGTCTATGGAGACCAGACGGCCTTCAGCTGGTCTATGGAGACCAGACGGCCTTCAGCTGGTCTATGGAGACCAGACGGCCTTCAGCTGGTCTATGGAGACCAGACGGCCTTCAGCTGGTCTATGGAGACCAGACGGCCTTCAGCTGGTCTATGGAGACCAGATGGCCTTCAGCTGGTCTATGGAGACCAGACGGCCTTCAGCTGGTCTATAGAGATCACCAGGCCTTCAGCTGATCTATAGAGACTCACTGATTTTCCGCTGGTCTATAGAGACCATCCCCGGACTTCAGCTGGTCTATGAAGACCCACTGACCTTCAGCTGGTCTATAGAGACCACCGGGGCTTCAGCTGGTCTATAGAGACCACCGGGCCTTCAGCTGGTCTATAGAGACTATTCGGCCTTCAGCTAGTCTATAGAGACCATCCGGCCTTCACTGGTCTATAGAGACAATCCGGCATTCAGCTGGTCAATATAGGCCATCCGGCCTTCAGCTGGTTTGTATAGGCCATCCGGCCTTCAGCTGGTCTATAGAGACCACCGGGCCTTCAGCTGGTCTATAGAGACTATTCGGCCTTCAGCTAGTCTATAGAGACCATCCGGCCTTCACTGATCTATAGAGACAATCCGGCATTCAGCTGGTCAATATAGGCCATCCGGCCTTCAGCTGGTTTGTATAGGCCATCCGGCCTTCAGCTGGTTTATATAGGCCATCCGGCCTTCAGCTGGTCTATATAGGCCATCCGGTCTTCAGCTGGTCTATATAGGCCATCCGGCCTTCAGCTGGTCTATAGAGACCGACTGACCATCAGCTGGTCTATAGGGATCATCCGGCCTTCAGCTGGTCTATAGAGATCATCATCATTTAGGGAGTTATAGCCATTTAAAATAATGTATTTTCCATTCGCTAAAAAGTAGGTTCCCCTGTCTTTTCCGCCAAATACGTCAACTGTTTATTTCTTTGGCGATAATACCTGGCCGCCATAAAACATAAAATAACCGATCAATGTCGATTTAATCGGTGTTAAATCGAAAATTTGTAGTTTCATTAAATTGCTACTGTGGTGTTATTGGCAACAACGACAACAAGAAAAAAAACCCACCCAAACAAAAGATAAACCACAAGCGGATCATAAAACAAAACAGCTCTCCATTGAAATTTTTGTGGAGCAAAAGGAAAACTTCCAACGTTCGACAACAATGCATTGGCCCACAGAGGAAAATTGCAAAGAAAAAAAGTGGATTATAGATCCCGGTAGCAGCGGAAAAAAAATTGTCGTACGATCAACTGGTTGGGTCTGGCTGCCTCTGCCATCTAACGTTACTTTTGTAATGCTCAACGAGCGCAAATAAGTGAAACCGAAATGTTTCGACTAGTTTTAAATTTCGAAAGCGGCGGCAGCAAAAAAACAGCTGTAGATTGGCTGCCAGAGTTGAAAACAGAGATTAGCAGTAGCTTGTGTTTGGTTGTTTGTTGCGGGCGATGCTTTTGCTCTGTTAATACAAATTGCGACGTCGCTTCGCACGCTTGCAATAAACGTTAAACGCTTGTCAGGCAACTGCCAGTGAGCCAACCCAAGCAACCAGCCAGCCTGCCAGTTGGTGCGAATCAGCAACGCACTTCAACTCTCAGTCGTTGACGGTGACTCGCAAGCTTAGGACGGTATTGATTTTTAAGCGAAAAAAACGTGATTTTATTTTCAAAATTCAAGTAAGTGTTGGACAAACCGACCGACCGATGAACCAACAACTCCAACAGTACTACCACAAAAAATAGAAAAAAAGAAAAAAACCGATTGAAGCGGTTTGTGCTCCAACGTTCGCCAAAATCAAAAGCAAGAAACCGCCATCAACTATCAGTTTTCGAGAAAGTCTGTGTGTGTGTGTTAAATCAGGAACTTGTAGACCACTCCATATTTCCAACAACAATAGTAAAAAATAATAGCATTCCACCTCCCAGATCGATCGATCCATTGACTGACTGGTAGAATTGCTGCAGCTCTTTCAAGGTAAACAAGAAACGAAAAAAATGCACTGCCCGTCACTGGGTATTACTTTTGTGTAAAGAGCAAACCACTTTTATTTGCCGATTTCCTTATAAAAAAAAAATCTTTAAAACAAAGTAACTAAATTTAAATTAACAACATGTTCTGGTGGTTGAAGTTATTTAAAACCAAAACTAATTTGCATCAACAACTGGTTTTGAATTTTGCAAATAAATAATAATTCGAAAAATAAGTGGTAATGAAAGACAAAGAGTTTATGGGCCAGAAACAAAATATTCCATTGTTGTGATTGAATGGGTGAGCAAGTCCTTGGAGATCCTTTTTAGAAATTCGAATCACAATTCGATCCACAAAGCCTTATGGCTATAGAGGGGATATATCATTTGATAGACCAAATCGAAGTAACTGTTCTTCTCTCGTTGAACGAAATCCGTAACAGGTCATTTAGAAACCATCTAACGGTGTCCATCCATCTGACAGACATGCTGGCTGGTGCAAAGCATAACTCTCGATGGGAGTACCCGATTTTGTCGAAATTTGGTACATGGCAATACTTTTACAGAACTTATATCGAATTCGAAGATGAGCAATATCAGACCACAAAAGTTCAAAATTGTCATGGACATTAATTTACCTCAAATACAGGATGAGATAAAAAAAACAGCAACAAAGTCAAATGCCATAATTTTTACATTTTTATACCCTACAACACTATGTGTATAAGTTTGATTGGGCCAAAAATTATGTAACACCTCGAAATATTGGTTTCCCACATAGGAAAGTATATATGGATCTTCCTATCTCGCCGAGCTGAGTCGATCTAGCTATGTATGTCCGTCCGTCCGTCTGTCCATGTTAATTTGTAATCACTCTACAGGTCGCAATTATCGTCCGATCTTAACGAAATTTAGAATGGAGGTGGGGTTCGGGCCAGAATAGAACCCTATTTCTTTTGGAGATGATCTCTTAATATTTAGGGGTTGAAATGGACCAAATACTGAAAAATTTCCTGATTTTGCAGTTGCTCTACAGGTCGCAGTTATAGTCCAATCGACGCGGAAGTTAGCATGTGGCTAGGGCTTAAAGCTGGGCAGAAGTCTTCCAATTTTGATGGTAATCGGGTAATATTTAGTGGGTGAAAAGGCCATGACACTTGTGTTAAATAAAATCAAATTTTCCATTAAACCGCGAATATTTTTAATCAGGTCAATCCTGACCGTTACGTAGATGCCGATAGTAAATATATCGGATATATATAGCGAAATATGTACAATACATATATACAAAGGAAGGGGATGTTAGCTAAAATGATTATATCTCAAGAATGGCTGAACCGATTTTATCAATTCAGAATGCCCTCTTGGCATAAGAGAATAAAATCTAAAAAAATCGCATAAAAATGTACCAATAATGGTGTTATTACAGACTTTGTAGCATTTTGTGACATTTTTTTATTTTTTCATATTTTTTATCGCATGCGATTTTTTCAATTTGACTTATAATATTGAAATGTACATTTTGTAAAATTTTTTCACCTTACAACACGGGTTGGGGTTATTATATACAGATTGCAATTATCGTCCGATATTCACGAAAATTTTCACAAGGGTAGGATTAGGCTCAGAAGAGTTATTGTTTTCAAAGATGAGCGCAATATATTTAGGGGTTGAAATGGACCAAACACTGAAAATGTTCCTGATTTTGCAGCCGTTATAAAGTCGCAAATAGAAAAAAATAGGGAAAAAATACCAACATTACTTACAGGCGATATCCGAAATACACAAAAGGCGAACTTCTGGCTTTTTTATGCTGATTTCGTTGATGAATATAGCCAAATATCGTAGACAAGCAAATAATATAGATGGGTCTAAATTTGTAGATGCAGAACGGCTTCTTGCTTTTGGAGATGATCGCAAAATATTGAGAGACTCAAGTGAACCAAAACAGAAAAAAATTACTGATCACACAACTGAAGCCAATCGACATACCTGAGAAGAGAGTTAAGGATAGGGAAGAATTCTAGCTTTTTGGATGACCATTGGATTATATTTCGCTGTAAAATCGAACACAACAACTAACAGCACGACGGAGTGCGCAAATGTCACTGGTCAAAATGGTAAGGGCAATATCTGGGCAGTGCTCCATGACAAAATTTCAAAAGCGAAATCTTCCAAAATGGACTTGGACATAAGGGTGCTTCTAACATATTGTAGTATTGTAGGGTTTCACATGGTCGGCCCCGCACGACTATAGCCTTTGCTTACTCGTTTTTTTTTTAATTTTATTGGATGAAAGCAAAAAATATCGGAAATAGCATCAAATTTTAGAATAACTTTAGATTTGTTCGAATTGGTAAATTTGGTACGAATTATGGCCTTCAAACGGTCAATGAAACCATCACACGCTGCCCGAATGTTACTCTGCGGTGTTTTGGCCCATTCCCGGCGAAGCGCTTGCTTGAGGTGATCGAAACTTTAGTATTTTCCAAAATACTCCAGACACAATAGTCCAACGGATTGGTATCCGGAGATTTTGGTGGCCGTTGTGCGCTGAAAATGGAGCGAGGAACCTCATTTTGTATTCATTCTTGGGTGGCGCGTGCTGACTGCGATATTGCTGAGTCCTGTTGAAATGTCCAAGGTCTACGGCCAAAATGTTTGCGTGCCCAAGGCTTGAATACACCCTCCAGAATATTTTCGCGATAATTTTCGGCATTTATTATGATGCCACGGTCGATTAATACGAGCGGAGAGCGACTATCGGCTGTTATGGCGGCCCACAACATCACCTTGGCTGGCGCTTGAGTTCTGGTGGCCAACCAAAGGTGCACATTTTCAGCAGACCTCTTTGGCAAGTAAACACGATCATTTTGTTTGTTTACAAACTGCTGGACAACGAATGTTTTCTCATCGGAGTTGGAGAAAACCAAATTCGGCAGTTCACCACTTTCGCCCAAGCGAAGCAACTCTTTAGCTCTTTTAAGTCTATTTTCTTTTTGGTGCTGTGTAAGTTCTTGCACTTTTTGGAATTGCAATGGCTTTACCCCGACCTAATTTTTTAATATTTGCCGAATGGAATATTGCAATATGTTCAGCTCACGAACCATCTTTTGGGCCACTGCGACGCGGGTTTCGATCGTCGTTTTTTTACTTTTCGAGCCATTTCAGCTGATTTTGCTGTTTTCTTCCGTCCACTTCCATGACGTCGGGCTATGCTACCAGCATAACGGTAACGAGCGATGGTACGAGACACAAAAGATTTATTCACATTTAAATGCTGGTGTGCTGTAACGATAGCCACTTGTGGTTTTCCAGCCAAATATAAAGAAATCACCCTATTACGCTTGAATTCCATCACGAATAACTCTTTTTCTGGAAAATTCTCACCAAAATGCTGTTGTACGCTTGTCAACAATATAATGAGCTGTCACTGGAATTATTTAAACAGCTGTCGGACGAATGGCTTAGAAATGGTAGCAGTCTGAAGTTGGTTGCAGTTTTTTCATCTCACCCTGTATAAGGTATTTCACTGGCTGGCATTGAAGAACCAAACCAGCAACCATAATTCGAATGGGTTGCATTCCTACGTATTTTCAAATGTTTTACACCCTCATGGTGGAGATTACATAACACAAGTTCGGCCAGCATAAAATTAATGCCTTGTTACTTGTTAGAAAAAATATTTTTCAAAATTTTGACCCTTTTGTAGGAAAGGTAACGAAAGTACCGATATTGTCCAGACCAACGACTAACACAAATTTTTCGAAGTTCGAAGATTCAAAAAAATTTAATACTTCCTTTGAAAATTTTTAACGATTCTGTGGATGAGAGAGAAGGAATGGACCCTCCATATCCCACATTTCAGAGTGGTTGCGATATTTAAAGTTGCGATATTTAAAGAATTAGAGAATCATTTTCCATTGTAGGAGAGGTATGAAAATTCAATATATTTTTACTTTTCTGAGGCATGGGCCAATGTTGTACCTTGGGCCAATTTCGTATCTGATCTAAGACTGCTACAAATATTTTCATGTGTGAAGTCATACAAATTCGAATACTCCCTTCGCTCGGCTCTGGCTCCATCTTCGAAAATGATCTAAGTTTTATTTAAATATTACGACATGAAATATTTGGGCCAGATTGGGTTCTCCCTTTGAGAGTTGTCAGGTGGATAAAATTTCCAAAATAATAATCCTTCGTGACATGTCTGTTTATGTTCAGCACCTGATTTTTTGCCTATCCTCCAAAATGTACACCATAATTGAGTTCCACAAAAATGCCGTGTTTCGTTTTGGTTTAATACTGCGTACGCTCTTTTTATTGCGGCAATTGAACTTTGGCCATAAATTTTAAGAAATTTTTGACCTAATATTGTGATTATCGTATCGCTTTAGCCGAAGAATTTTTCAGATATCAATACTCAAAAAAGCGTGGCCTTAGAAAACAGCAACACAAAAAAGGGGGCCACACATTTTGGAGGTATATACTTTTCAAAATGTTGTCCTCACTCTGCAGCAATATTTCCATTACAAATGCTAATCAAAATCTGTTATTCTCAAAAGATATGAACTAGAGATTTTGTTATCGTTATTGCCCCTGCAATTACCCATTCACCATATGTATAAAAAATGAAAGCGGCAAAAGCGATTCTTCTTATCGGAAATCAATCAATTTGGACAAATAACAAAGCGTGTACCACCAAATAAGCGATAAGGGCAAAAATTATTTATGTGAGATTCGTAGTATATTTGATTTATGATAAGTTGTATTTTAATTTGTTCGCAATGCAGTTCTAAAATTAGGAAATTTATTCGAAAATAAAATATAACAAGTTTGAAAGCATCAGTCGGTTTTGTCGGCGGATTGTATAACCTCAGTCATTCAAATTGTTGACCCTCTATAGAGTAGTTTCCGATGGAGTGGGTCAATATTACTCTCAGCCATATGGCATTTGATACGACCAAAACGTTTCTCATCGGAATAAAGGTTTGAGACCCTAGGGAC